ATCACAGAAATTCTTCCCAGCAATGACAGTTGTAGTTTCTCCCATCTTAACATGTCTTTTTCAACTTCATTCCATGTCTCAACATAGTTATTTTGAAATAACATACAGTTCATATTTGTCATAATAATACCCAGATATTTTACCTTCTTTTCAATCTTAAAACCCATTTTATTCATCAATTCTATTTGAACTTCTATTTTCATATTTGTTGTTAACATCTTCATCTTTTGTTTATTAATCTTGAAACCTGATAATGCACCAAATTCTATTAATTTGCCCCATTAATGTTTTGGAAGGATCTTCCAAAACCAACACCAAGCCATCCGAAAAGCCCTTAACTTATAACTTTCTTTTTTAATCTTTAAAGGCTCATGTTACCTTTATCTTTTGTTTTGTGAAATCCACCAATTGTCTGCACTCAATAATAGTAAACAAAAAACATGCTCATGAAGGTCCAGTTTATTTTAATTCCAATTTGTTCAAAAGCACTTTCACCAAAAATTAGTCTTTCAAAATAACTATCCCCTCTATCTGTTTTAAACTTTCTTACATCTATTTCTTGGTAAGCTTTTTGCCAAAAGTTTTTAAATTTTTAAAACTTTTTTTTCCCTTTGTAATCCAGAAAGAATGGAGTGGAATTTTCTTATCCTGCCATTCAGAAAATCTTCCTTTAGCTGTAAATTAGTTACCTCCACTTCTTAAGTGTTTAGGAAATGAGGCTCTTGCGAACCTTATATCCATATAAGCTACGTTACAGCTGTGAGCTTGATTGAAATCCCTCAACTCCCAGCCGCTCAACTCACAAGCTGACCACAAAAACCTCAACTCATGAGGAGCAGCTGTACAGAGTGTAAGTGGGCAAACTCACAATCTCTCCTTTTTCCAGAGAAACTGTGCTGGCCAGAATTCACTGTCTGGCCACTGATCTTTACCACAGTGCCATCCCCGCTCCTTCAGGGATGTCTAGTTTGCCATGAATCCTCACCAGAAGTCAGCATTTTTAATTACTATAGAAACAGTCAAGGCTTAATGTCCAGTCTGTTTTACCATAGCAGTGCTAACAATATGAGCTGCCTTTTTGCTTTAGACATTTTCTAAGTGAACTTAATAAAACAGACATCACTTCAGAAGTAAGGTTCACTGAATTCAAAAGAATTTATTTGGCAAGGGTCATATCCTCATGATAAAATAATTAGAAATGTGGACTGCTGGACATTGCTATTGGAATGAGATACAGAGTTCCATACAGTATTTGTTTCTTTTTTCTGTTCCCCCTAATCACATTACCAATGTAGGAGGGATCATTTGGCTTGTTTATATGCTTGTTTTAATTACCAATATTTTTATAAAGCATAGCGGCATAACCTGCTGGCTGCATGAGGTCCCTCAGCCCCATTTTTGTAGCTATGGAGCACAGAATTTCCTCTGAAATACTTGAAGAGGCCAGATGGATTGCAGGCAGGACATGCGATAGATCATATTTAAATCTTCTCAGATGCCTCAGTATTATGGTAAAAACTTTTAAACAGATTTCACATTACAGACTTGATGCTGGCGGCAGACTAGGTCATGCAGTTCAAAAGATGTTTTAGTGTTATCTCAGGTATGTCTGGTAATCAGGAGTGGAATCCTGCGTGAAGAAATGGGAGATCCGAGAAAAAGAAAAAGTGGAATTTTTGTTCTTTCTTGATCTCCAATATCACTTTGGAATGTGAATGGGTCTTTGACAGCTGCTGCAGCTGGAAACAAGAGACAGATGAGCAAACAATAAATAGAAGCAAAAAACCTTCATGCTCCTCCTATGTAAATGCATCCTCCCATTCCCTTAATTGTGTCACAGGATGCTGCAGTAACTGGTTTTTTTTTAATGCCATGTCATCACAACATTGCCTTTGTCTCATCCCTAGTCCCTAGCTGAAGCAACTCAAAATCGTTTTTAAGCTGTTCCAGTGATAAAATAGTCTTTTCTGTTCTCGAAATACAATTATGGCTGTGGATATGATCAAGCAAATTTCATCAGCAGTGTGGTTGCTGAGTGGTCAGGTGGGATCTGCTCAGCATCTATTGGCTGCTGCAGACCCCTCGCCTCCCCTCCAGGTGCTGGAAGCTGCCCTTTGAGGCCTTTTTGACCTTGGCTGCTGATGAGACTGTCTGATACAGAGTTGTCTACCTGTCAGGCCTAGCCCAAAGAACTCCTGGAGACCAAGCAGGTTCAATCAGCAAGGTTTATTTGCCAGCACCTGTTTACAGAAATCAT